ATTGGTTTATTGATATTGGGTTATTGGGCTAACGGTTTTTAAACGGTTTTGCAAAATTTTTTATTGGGTTATTGGTTCGGTTTCCGGTTTTATAATTTTTGTTAATGGTTAAACCGATAACCCAATAAGACTATACTAAATTTACTAGTCTTATTGTTAATGATTAAACGATTGTTACTTTCACACTTTTTGTTAATGGTTAAACGATTGTTACTTTCACACTTTTTCCTTTGAATGTGTCTAGTGTCTAAACTTGCAAGAAAAATGATTGTTACTTTTATGATTATTACTTTCATGCCAAATGCTGGAAAAATCATATGGTTTATTTGAAAATTTTCTTATCGTGTATATAATATGTATGGATATTGAAAATAAAAAAAAATAAAAATGTATGAGTATTTTCTTATTGGTTAAACCGAAAACCGAACCGTTAAGTACCATAAACCGATTAACCAAAAACCGATAAGAAATATGTTATTGGTTTGGTTATCGGTTTGACATATTTACAAACCGAAAACCGATAAACCGAACCAATAACACCTAAAACCGAACCGAACCGACCGATGCGCACCCCTAAGGTCAGCTCGGGGTCAAATCTCAAGTTGGGTGTCCGATCCTGAGTCAGGTGTCAGGGTGGGATTTCGAGTCGGAATTCGGGTTGAAAGTCAAGGTCGGATGTCCGATTTGGGTCCCAAATCGATATTCGAGGTCAGATCCAAGTTTAGAAGTCAGGTCATAAGGTGGGTTTTAGGGTCGCACCCCATATACACATATTACATATATATAATTTCGGGCTAACCCATCGGTGGCCCCTTAAACTTGACACCAACTTTCACTTATGCACATCAAGTGGGCGATGTTCATTTTAGACACCTTATGTAGGGTCTCGCTGTGTCATTTTGACACTTTTTATATTTTCAAAACCGCATTTTAAGTGTGTACATCCAGACGCCTCTTATGTGGAAAAATAAACTAATTGGTGCGTGACACGTGGAAATTTTATTTTTAAAAATCTCAATTCTACTTTCTTTTTTTCTTTCTTCCAGATCCCAAACCCCATGCCCCCATCTGTTTTCTTCTTCTTCTTGCGCCTCCGTCCCCTTCATCTGTTCTTCTCCATCAAAAAGGCAAGAACATAGGTTAGTTTACAAAGTAAAATACGTTTTGGAGAATAAGGGAAATCATACCAAATCGAAAGTTTTATATGACATTTAAAAGAAGATGATTTCTTGTGCTACTACGATTGGGATTTACAATGAAGGATATGTAAAATAAATTTCTTTTTTTTTTCATTGGAGATTGTTCCTTATTTCTTTTTTATTCCTTGAAATCAATTTAATTTTCAATGGAGAAGGTAAGAATGTAAATCAGTTTTTCCATTTGAAAGAAGTTGATTTCTTTTTTTGTTCTCTTGAAATAGATTTTGTTTTTGAATATGAATCAAGATGCAAATTCGATTTTCAAAGAGGATGGAAGAATCAAAGAGTTTAAAAAAGTTGTGTGGTGATGGAGGATGGTAGAAAGTGGGGAAGATGGAAGGGAGAAAGCAAGGAAGAAGAAGGAGAAGAAAATAATTACAAAAAAATTCAGAATATTTACAGAAAAAGTCTCTAACGCGCTCAAAATTCGTGTAGCACACGTACTGTGCTTAGTCAGCAAAAAGTGTCAAAATGACACAGCGAAATCCTACATGAGGTATCTAAAATGAATATCGCCCACTTGAGGTGCCTAAGTGAAACTTCGTGCCAAATTTAGGGGGTTCACACTAAAACTGAATGCAAAGTGATCTCTAGGGAAAAAAATTTAGCATACACAAGATTTTAAAAAGTGATATATCGACCTATTGTTATAATTAGACACATGTAAAAATATATATGAAATTTGGGTATATTTAAGGAACTGTCATTTCATGTCATAATCAAAATGATATTTACTTTGTACAGATAGCATCTATATATATATAAAAAGAAGGACTATAGATAAGGTGATGTGACACATCTCTATGGTCTTCATTTTGTTTAGCTTTTTTCTTCTTTTTATGGCTTTTTAAAAAAATAAAAATAATTATTATATTATAAATATAAATTACATAATTTATTACAAATAAATATTTTATTGATGGAGGAACATTTATAACAAAAACTCTTCATAGTCTTTTTTTTATTTATTTGTCTCACTTATAATAAAAGGAGAAACATAATTTATCTTTTTTTGATTTTTTTTAATTCAAATTAATTATTGTATTGTAAAAATATATTACTTAATTTATACAAATAAATATTTTATTAATTAGAAACATTTACAACAAAAAACTTTCCACATTCTTTTTTCTATTTTTTTATCTCACTTCAAATCATGAAATGATAATAATTTTTTTACATTTTAAGTATTTTTATCTTTATTTTTTAATTTATTCACAAGGAGTTATTACCCATGACTTGCCCCTCTTTAATTTTTACTTTTAATAATATTCATAACTCTCATAATTTTTATGTCCATAACCTCCAAACTTAAATTTGTAAGTTTATGATGTCTTATGGTATTCCTTTATTTTGCCTATAAATTCATATTAGTTTCATGAAGATTCACATTCACAATTATCCTTTCTCTTTATCATATTGGTTTGGTTTGCAACAGAAAAGAAGTACATGAAAGTAAAAAAAATTTCATTGCAAATTTTTATTTTTTATTTCCTCTATTTTTGTCTATATAAATTCGTATTTGGTTTGTGAATGAAACTAACATGTAACAAAAAAAATTACGTGAAGTTAATAAATATATCATTCTCAAGTCCTTATTTTTTCATTTCCTCTATTTTGTCTATATATTCATATTATTTTCATGAAGATTCACATACAAAGTCATTCTCAAGTCTTTCTTTTTATTTTTATGTACTTAGACATGTTTTCTTAATATTTTTTAATGTTTGTATTATCATTCATCAAGCAAGTATGATTAAAAAAAATCTCTGTAATTCTTAACAATGTTTTGTCTGTTTGCAATTGCTCTTTCTAATAGTTAGTTTTCCGGATATAATATAGTTTGATTATAATATTTGTTAGATTTCAATAAATAATTATTATTTATTATTGTTAGTACTATTGAAAAGATAATATACAAATATATTACATATAGTTTAAATTTCGTTCTTTCTTTTGACATAATTATTTTTAATTGGTATATGATGTATTCTTTTTATTCAGTTGATTGCATATAATGAAGAGTTTGACATATGGATCAAAACATGATGGCGGATCTACTTGCAAAGGAAGATGATAGAAGGAAAAAAAATGAAGCATAATTAGAGATTATTTTTCCACTTTGAATTGTATTAGACTATTAGCAACTTAGTTATTTGGTAGAATTTTCTAAATTTTGATTTGTATAAATAATTTAGCTAAATGTATTATATTGTCAATGCTAATCATTTGATCCTTTATTAGTCTACTTTTTATTTGTTATGAAGCAAAATTAATATAATTATCTCATTTTAACAACAACAAAAAAAAATTATGATGATTAGGAGTTTTTTTTTTATAATTATAAAAAAGTAATTGAAAAATAAAATATTATTTTCATGATGCCATTTTTTGCGTATGTAACAATCTGTTTTCGACATCATTCTTTTTTCTTTGAAATGTTTTTATAATTTTTATGTAGTCACCAATTTTTATATTTTCTCTGTTCATTTTTTGTATTTTAACCCCTTATTTTTATTTATTTATTTTACAAATAAAATCAATGCATAATTAGTAATACATTTAATGTCTAATAAAATTATACATTTGAATTATTTATAACTCATGTCTCTTCATCTTACTTGTAACTTTTAATATTAAATATTATTCATAACTTTTGTATCTTTCATTTTTCATAAATCTTATAAATATTTAATTAATGTTAAAAATTATAATAAGCAAATATAATAACAAGGACATAATAAAAAATCAATTTTGTTTTGACGAAATCAGAGTTTGAATATAAAATTAGTACTCTTACAAAAGATAGAGAAAATTAAAACATATAAAATATTTTCAACGTAATACAATATATTGTTATTTCAACATATTATCTCTTATTCCATTTACTTCACCACGGTGAATATTTTAAAAAAATTTGAAAAAACCTATGATATCGTAGATGAAGAGAAATATTAATATTATCTATATATTCGATACTAACCTAAATATTACATATTTCATATTATTATCTTATAAATATTTCATATAGCCGCGCGAAGCGCGAATAATTTCACTAGTTATTATATATCCCAGGAATATTTAAAGATGTTACGACAAGAACATTTTTAGTGGAACGTTATAAGAATATATGAAAGTTGTGTGGACCGTTGCTCTTCCTTTCACTTGAAATATAAGTGGTTCTAAATGACCTTAAGAAGGTCCTAACGCAATATCTTTTGTCGCTTGAAGAGAAGATAGATGACTAGATTTATCCATTGTATTCACAAAATATGATTTGAGACATGATATGAGTTATCGTGTATCAAAAGGACAGGACATGATCCTTATAACAAAATAAACCAACCCTTGATCACTTATGGTGTTTTATTATGTGTATTTCAGAAGAAAAAAAATACTTAATGAAATTGAAAAATTTATGACCAATCGAACATAGAAAAATGAAAAATCTTTTCCTTCCTACCAAACACACACTTTATGTTTTCTAATTGCATATTCTGTCCTTCCTAGTTTATCTTACTAGTATAATACTATGGATTTTTTTCAATAAAAACAATGAATTATTCATTATATTGGGAATCCATGTCATTCTCACCTCTTCATTCTTTTACAATATTACAATAATATGGCGTTTTCACAGAAAAAGAAAGAATTTTTTTCTAATTGGAGAAAAAAAGATTAAAAGTATTTAGATTCTTGAAATATGAATATAACAATTTTTTTTAAAAAGCCAAAAAGAATAAATACCCAATAACACATGATGAAGTATCAAAAAATCTAGTACAAATAGCCATGGCTCACTATTGTTGTGACTTGTGAAATTTATTAATTAAATTATATATATAGGTTTTTTCTTCTTCTATCAATCTTCATGTCATCAATAAGAGGAAGAGACACTTTAGAACTTGGTGGTGTGATAAGTGATGTGTTGGATCCATTCACAAGGTCTATTAGCCTAAGTGTTGTTTACAACCATAGGGAAGTTATCAATGGCACTAATTTGAGGCCTTCACAAATTACTAATCAACCTAGGGTTGAGATTGGAGGAAATGGTCTTTCGACTTTTTACACTCTAGTAAATCTCATATTATATTCTTCATCATTTTCTTTTTAAGTTCACGCTGAATAATTTACGTAATGTGTTCTTTGTTAAGAGGTTCTATATTCTTAAAAACAGAACTACTAATTTGATTATGGATGAAATGAATCGCTTAATCAATATCACACACTATATATAGAATTTGGACTTATGTATATATAGTGGGTTGAGATTGAAAGAAATGATCTTTCTATTTTATACACTCTGATAAATTTCATGCGATATTTTATATCATCTTTTGAGTTCACGCTGAATAATTTACCTAGGTTTTACATTCATAAAGATAAAACCACTAATTTGATTAGAGATGAAATGTATATATCGCTCAATCATTTCACACTATAGAATCTGAACTTATATATATAGTGACTTGTTACCCCGATCGAGTTGTGAATAAAATATAAGGGATATCCTTATTATATGATTATATATGAGATAAACAAATGTCTTTGCTTTGATTATATGTGAGATAAATAAGATTCATTAACTATTGACATGTGATTTTTAGTTTAGTTTTCTTAATCTTGGAATGTTCTTCAAGACTTGTGATTTTTTGTTATTTTATCGTGAAAGATTGTGGTGGATCCTGATGCTCCAAGTCCAAGCAACCCAAATTTGAGGGAGTACCTACATTGGTTAGTCAGTTATTCGATTTTTTTCGTTATTAACGTATATTAGTTATTTAAAAACATGTTATCTACAACATTTTAAATATTTAAAATAGGATTAATATTAAGTATAGAGACTAATTCCAATTTGAAATTTTATTCTACAATTAGATACATAAAACTTTTACACTATCCGTATATATAACTTAGTGTTTTTTTAAAAAAAAAATGTTGGATACTCTTTTTACATTAATCATTTGCAAAATATTTTTATATAATTTTTTTATGTCATTTATAAAATTAGAGAAATATAAATTTCACTCAAATTTTTATGTCATTTATATATGATCAACTTTGTTAACTAGGTTGGTCACTGATATCCCAGCAACCACAGGAGTAACCTTTGGTAAGTCTTTTTTATATTAATCATGCAATATATATATATAAAGTTGCAATAATAATGTATGTTGCCAACAATGTGATTTTTTAATGATATTTATATGAATATATATCCAATAAATATCTCTCCGTTCTTAATTAGAATTCTCTATTACAATTTCTCTGAAAAATGAGATGTTCACGAGGGGGATCACTTCTTTTTTTTACTTGGTATAAATTTAAAAAAAAAATCAACTAGTGAAATTTTTTATACTAGATAATTATTTATAAGAACCCAATTTTAAAAATGTTAAATTGCTCCTTTTATAAAATAAAAAAAAACAATTATGACTCAATCAAAAAAATTGGTGCCTACTTTTAGCCTTCTTTATATAGTAGTATATAATAATTCATGTTTTTTATTTAAATTTATCGAGATCTCAACCAACTTCAAATATTATTGTTTGTTTGTTTATGTCAGATAAATTTCAGTCAACTTTAATAATTTTATAGGTTTGGAAATAATACCTCATCCATCTTTTTTTCTACGAAATTTATAAAATTCTTCTTAAAATAAACAAAATAAATAAATTTCATCTACGGAACTTTTAAGAAATTCTACTTTTTTAAAATATTATATATTCTACTTTCTTGGGGTACAACTTTAATAGATTGCACTTTTATTTGTGGGTACGATAATTATAGATTCTACGTACTATAAAGAAGAATATATTCTACTGAAATTTCTTTTGATAGGGAACCATATACTCTTCATATATTTAATGATTTTAATTTTTTGTTGGTTACCAAATTTTGGAGACATATTAGAATTTTATGTCATGTCACCTACAAATTATTTTACCATTTAAGATTGTTACTTCTAAATTTTATAAATAATCTCCCCCCCCCACCCCACCACAGGGATAATTAGTCACAACATAACTTGGATTCAACTGACATATATGCTTTCTAACTTTGGACGTGCTCACACTTAAGCTTGTATAAAGTTGAACTAGTAGCCACATGTTTTACATGGTACTTCACGTGAGATATACTCTATCTTATTTGTATTATACCATGTATGACACACGTGTCTACTTATTCACCTGTATACAAGTTTAAGTGTCTACTTGTGTACGAGTGGCGAAATCAGAAATTTCATTAAGGGTGTCCAATTTGCACAATTTTCTAGATATATAGTATAGTATATTATAATTTTTCGACAAAGGGTGTCCAACTGGCCACCTTGGGCTATATGTGGCTATACGAGGCTATGTCACTGTCGTGCACACCCAAAATTGAAGGACACAAATATCAGTTGATGCAGATATTAAATATCACTTTAATTTTATGAAATTGTTTTTATATTTTTTTTGTATTATAGGGAATGAAGTTATATGTTATGAGAGTCCAAGGCCTTCAATGGGAATCCATAGAATTGTTTTCTCTTTATTTCGTCAATTGGGCAGAGAAACTGTTTATGCACCAAATTGGCGTCAGAATTTCAATACAAGACAATTTGCTGAACTCTACAATCTTGGATCACCTGTTGCTGCTGTTTACTTCAATTGCCAAAGGGAAAATGGAACCGGTGGTCGTCGTTGCGAATAATTATATAGCAGGAGCAATCTCGATTGCCGTACCAGAGAGGAGAGGAATATTATATAACAGGAGCAATATAATCTCAATCGTCGTAGACAAACGACGATCTCTAATTAAAATTAAAGCTTCTTAATATTGTTGCAAATATAGAATAAATTCTAATTGTAATGTATTATGATCTTCTACTATTTGAATAAGTATTACTATATGATGATATTCATCGATACGATTTAATAATTATGTTTATCATTTTTAGTTTTCTAACTATACTATAAATAAAATAACGGTCACTAGAAGGAAGGCATTATCGTAGAATTTCAAAATTCATACGTGGATATTAACATTTGTGGCTTGTAAGATATAGCGACATTGAATCTAATAACAATTAACTAATGTCGATAAAGGTTTTAACACTCTTTGTTAATATGTATATTTATTGCCGCTAAAAGTTATTTTTGTTGTAGTGATTGTATTAGGTTCAAGTTATGAATACAAGTAATCCAACTCAAAATGTCTCAATATGTATAAGTATTTAATATAAATATAGAGTCCAAACATAGATTATTGAATTCGTTCGAACCTGAACCTACATTAATTCAATGGTGCTAAGCCACCAAAATAATGTAACCCCCCCCCCCCCCCCCCCCCCCCCCCCCCCCCCAAAATGTACCCCCCCCCCCCACCCCCCCTTAGCTTCTTTTTTTTTTGTCCTACAGAGATTTTGTTCTAAAATTTTCTTTGGCCCCTACCACTATGTAATGACAAAAAAAAATATAAGTATCGACAGGAAATTATCTCTTTTATAATTTGAACTTTGAATGCAAAAAATAATAATAAAAATTTATGAAAGAATTGCATTTCGTTCATCAACATTAACTATCGTAATATTTGACTTTTAATCTCTATTTTTACAATTTCAACTTTCTCTTCTGGTCATTAAGATGTATCCGTAACTAAAACACTACATCCCCCTCTATCCTAAGATGCTCAAGAAGCTTTGTCTATATTGATATTAGCTTTAGACAAAAGCATCCAATTAAAAATCTTTCTGGCTTGATCAAGAAATTTTATATCCTCCAAATCGTATAGCGTTTTAATCGAAAAAACTTCTCACAAAATAAATAACAATAAAAACCCCGCTTCATGCCCCATGAATATCCCTGGTTTTGTTTGGAAGATCATGATTATTGAAATTATTGCCATAGAAAGAAAACACTACACTAACTACTAACTTTCTACCCGAATACGCATCCTCTATCCTCTTATCTAGAATCATGTTCTCACCTCCTCGATAACCTGAAGCTAGGTCATATCCTGTCTTATCACCTCCCCAATACTTCTTCGGCACACTCTATATATATGTGTCAATTGTTTAATGCATGTAAACATAAACATGCATTAAAAATCTTCTATAAAATGAAAGTTTAGCTATTTTTATAATAATTTAAAAGTATTGCTAATATGAATAATTAATTGGCTTAAGTTGTTATATCACAAAATGTTCCCTTAGATTACTCTTGTATAATGGGCTTGAGAAATGACCTGATAGTTTGGTTTAACTTATTTGTTGGGCTGGATCATATGTTTTAGAAGGGAAGACAACTAATGTAGTCTTGGGCCTTCACACACATAATTAAAGGCCCTCCCAAAAAGTTGTATCTTAGATACACATACGCGAAAACTCATATACAAAATAAACAGAAAAATATCGCGATGTTATGTAAATATCAATAATGTCATTGTCCGCCGTAATATAGACTTATATTATAGCCCTTTATGGAATTTTCTCTTGTTTCATTTCTAAATGGGCTATTGATCTTTGCCTTTTAACCACTTTGGGTTTTCACCATGGCGTTTCAAACTAAGTCATCAACATTGGGTCCAAATTGCCAACCTTTTGGTCTCACTTTGATTGGGCTTGTTTTAAAATTTAGTCAGGAAAAATGCACAAATATCCATTCTGGATGCCACATGTAATTTATGCCTGTATTTAAATTTGGGGAATTTTCACATATAACCACTTAAAAATAACTTAATTATGCTTCATAGCTATAGTTTGCTAATTAAGATTCATAGCTACATGTTAGAGGGAGAAGAGAGGCGAGCGATATTGGGAGAGAGAGGAGAGAGCAAGCGAGAGAGGACAAAGAGTGGAGAGAGGCGAATTGTATATGTATATCTGTCAAAATAATTGTATATATGTAACTGGTATACATATATATATTTATATATCTGGCAAGCGAGATTGGGAGATGGAGGAGAGAGGCGAGCGAGAGAGGGAAGAGAGTGGAGAGAGACGAACTGTATATGTATATATGTTAGATAATTGTATATATATATATAACTGATATACATATGTATTTGTATATCCGGCAAGCGAGATTGGGAGAGGGAGAGGGAGAAAAGAGACAAGCGAGATTAGGAGAGAGAGGCGAGCTAGAAAGGGCAGAGAGTGGAGAGAGGCTAATTGTATTTGTATATCTGGCATTGTATAGATATGTGTATAATTTGCATTTGTATATGTATAAAAAAGGACATGCGACGTAATGACAACTAAAATTAAGTTGTGAGCCGTAATTAATTCAAACTATAACTATGCTACCTAATTAACTAATATATGTTTGCTTTTACGCATAATTTTCCCTTTAAATTTTGGGTAAACAACACAAATCTAATACTTTAAGAGCTAATTATTTAGATTCACACTAATTTGCAATATTAGGAATCTTACTCAATTTTGGACTTTGGATATGTGGGGTCAAAATTAGGTGTAGTTTGTTGTAAATACAATGTATTCAAGTGGATCTACGTTTATCTAACTTTCTCGTTAGCCTCTCTTCTTGTATCTGGTATCCCAGATACACATATCTAGTGTAATTCGTATCTATCTGGATACATAGACTATCTCGTTCACCTCCCTCCTTCTCTCACCTCTCCTTATTTTAGTGTATATGGTAAAAGATACACGTATTTAAGTGTATTTGACCTGAAATCTGGTATGAAATTATTAATTAGTGAAACAATATGTAATTATTTCAAACTATAGGGCGAATTAGTAAATATGGTAGGAATGCTTGTCTAATTAGATAGTTTTTCCTTGATTTTTCTTTTACGTATGTCTACTACGTACAAACATAATTGAGACATGTTGCGTCAAATATAAAATATTCTGTTTGCGATCTCTATCATACTTTTCAATAGAATATTCTTAACGAAAGTCTCACCTTTTTTATCCTAAATTTGAATCAAAGGATAGACGTTCATGCATTTACCAACATTTTAGAAAAATACATTTATTGTCGAATAATGGAACGATTACTTCAATCGAAACATTAGATAGATTAGAAAAAATTGTGATAGAAAATTAAAAGTAAAATTGTTCATTTGGGTTGGACTCATCACAGAATGTGAAAAGCCACAAAATTACTTGCCTCAAATAGGGAAAATGTTTAATTTATTCTGCAGGTTAGATTCTCTAATCTTGTAATCTTAATTAAAATCATATGTAGTGTACCAAAAATGCTCGTAAAATATTTTAATCTTAAATGTATCAGGTAGGTATTGGCGTAAAGAGTTACTAAATAAAAAGATGACTTTATGAATTAAATTTAGAAAAAAGGGTAGAGACAATTAAATAACGAAGGAGGTATCAATTTCCAAAAGAGAGGAAAAAATTAGTTGACTTGTGTATTATATGTGGTGAAGATGACAAGACGGGATTGCTTAGATATTAAATATACTTTACCTTCAACTCTAAAATTATGAATTCGAGTCATCATAGAGAAAAAAGGTGAAAGCTCCCAAGGAGGGATCGCCGTCAGAGGATTCGTTTGTGACTTCCTCCTTTCAAAGAGTTTCATTCGCGATCCAAGCAAAGTAAAGAATCAAAATCTTATCCAATAAATATAGGATTCGTCAAAGGGAGGGGTGAAAATATAAAATAAATTAAATATGGGACCAAGTTTATTTATATTTTTTGGAAAGGGAAAAAATGAGGAAGAGAATTACACGATAAAGAATCGAACCCTCATCAACAAGGTTAACCTACCGAGATACTAAAATTCTTCGTGGGACCAAGATTTATTATTCCAAGTTAAAAACAAATTTAGAGGCACTTTTAACTGGCCATAGATTCATAATATTTTTTTTAGTGAATATTTGAAATAATATTCCTGCTTGAATATATTTAAAAACAATTTAAAAATAAAAAATGAGTTGAAAAATAAATTATAAATTATTTTTCAAACTTGAAGAACAAATTTAAGTTGAATTTATAATTTTCATGACAAAACATTAATTTTCAAATAAAAAAAAATTCAAATAAATAATAAATAATTTTTATGACCAAACGAATAATGTTCTAAAGAAAAAATGGGACCAAAATTCCTCCTTCCAATTATACTATGTTCGAACATTTCAATATTTCAATTCTTCTAAGTATATTTTTTCAGGTGTAGTGCATCGTCTAAATATATCTCACCCATTATTTAGTGACTAGAAAAAAAAAGAGAGACTAACTTTCAATATTAGCGCATATTTTTTCTTTATACAATCAGATCATCAAAATATAATTACAAAAAAATAATCATTCATAAAAAATGAAGTAGTAAAAGATAAACTAACTTTTAGAATATGTTAAAATATATATAATTTTTTTTACACTATCTGTACATATAAATTAAATAAAAATAAAAATTCATAGGATAATTTAGAAAGTAAATAATTGTACAAAAGTAGAGTATTCTTTTTTATCCTCTTTGCTATCCTTACATAAAGAGGAAAATGACTATCAATTTTGTGGTCACTCTAATATTGACGATGTTCATTTACAATATTCGATATTAAAGAATTTAAGATAAATGTACAAGTAATAAAATAATATTCTAGAATAAGTGTCTTTATTATAGAATAATAAATTGTTAATAATTCTTGCAAGTCAACCATTCCTATTTTTTCATTTTGCTCTTTCATCTTATTATATAGACCATTATATATAGAGAATTGTATATGATTAATGGAATTCAACATTTTGGACACTTTTTTAAAAAATGAATTCAAGGGAATTTTTATGTGTTTACATATACATATTCTCTTAATATATAGGAGAGAGTTGATGCTGAAGCATGTAGGTCTTCGTCGACATAGCTGCTTTAGCAAGGACATTTTGGTAAAAAATATTTTTTATTCTACTTTCATGTTATCAGTATAATTTTTTTTTTGAAATTATGGACCATTTTAACTATGTCCATTAATTTTAAATTCATATCTTTAGTTATAGTTTTATTACGTTGAATGTCATTAATATTTGTGTAAATATTGTAAGTACTTTGATTATAAAGTCAAGTCAATGAAGAAAAATATTTTAATTATGATAATCTCAATGAGTCTCTTCACATTAGATTTGCGAGAAAAAGAATGAGATGATTTACTACCATACAATATATATATAATATTTTAGAACAAATTTTTAAAATCTTTAATCAACACCACTAAAAATTTATCAAAATTAATAATATTTATCAGATATTTATTTTATATTTTATAAAATAATTTAAAATCGTTACTTAAAAATAAATATAAAATAAATATTGGGCCCCATTTCAATTGACTCATTATAACTTCACCAATGACGTTTATATTATTCCAATATTGATTGAGACAATGAAGTATTTGTTTCTTTATATGGTCTTGAGCTATTTTTATTTTACGTCAAATAATTTTTTTACATCATAATATCTTATAAGTTTTATTTCACATTTTTAAAACGCTACGTTTTTGCGTAAAAAATATTTTTTTGCAGAAAAAAATAATATTTTTTGCATCATAATATCTCATAAGTTTTATATCACACCTTTAAAACGCTTATTCTTTACTAGTTCGATTGTTTAGAATAAAATAAAATTAAAGATCAGTTCATTTAAAAAATAAAAACACGTTTTTGTGTAATAAACAATCAAGATAGTGTTTCCCAAAGTTACAATACTATTTTGGCAAGTTCTTTAAAAGAACTGAATTTAAAAACCCAACTAATTAGTAGAAGTAAATGCAACTAAATAAAGTGATTATTCATCAAATACTGCATAAATTTTTTATCTTTAGCGGCAATAACTTAATTGTCACTAAATATATTTTTTTAGAGACAATCTAACATATTTTGTAAATATCTTTAAAGTCTATAGCGATATTGAATCCAACGACAATTAACTAATGATGGTAAATTTTTTAGCAATACTCTTTAGTAATATGCATATTTATTATCGCTAAAAGTTGTTGCAGTGAAATCACTATGCATGACACCTCAAAATCAAACTTGTGGAATTGATAAGATTCTTGTTTGTGTGCTTTAAAATTGCATATATGCAAAGAGCTATCATCAAGTTGGAGCAAAAAGAGATAAAAAGAACAAAAAAAATACCAAAAACTTGGAATGACACACAAAAACACAATACAAGTGGATATACACCAAAAACTAGCTTGTATAAATACCCTTTAATTCTAACTCATCATGATATATAAATCATTTACTCATTGCATATAGTATTCATCAATTATATATTCATCATGCAAAGAGAAAGAGATACATTGACACTTGCTAGAGTGATAGGTGATGTTTTGGATCCATTCACAAGGTCTATTAACCTAAGAGTTGTTTATAACAATAGAGAGGTTAGAAATGGTTGTGATTTGAGGCCTTCTATGGTTATCAACCAACCTAGTGTTGAAATTGAAGGGGATAATCTTCAAACTTTTTACACTCTGGTATACCATATATACACAATTTATATACAATTATATACATACTATATACACAAGTTCCATTGTTTTCATTTTGTACTCGTGTCATTTTTAAAATCTTCTTTTCTTATGTTAATGAGTCTGAGGAGAGGTAGAGGTCCGTTGAAGAAATTTTGTAGAAAGGTGATAAGATATGACATGACACACTTACAACTTACCAAAGAGACGAACCTAGATAGGAAGATATATAAAGGTCGATGAGTAGGGTAGAAGATTAATAGGCAGTCGAACTTTGTCTAGTTTCATTTATTATTATTAATACTCTCCTTCTCCTACTTTTCTTACTTATTTTGATATGTTTAACTTGATCTGAGGGTTTATCGAAAACAACATCTCTACCTTTACAAAGGTAGGAGTAAGACTACGTATATCCTCCCCAGAGTTGTTCACTTACGAAATTACACTAAATATGTTATTGATGTCGATGATGTAAAGATTATTAATGATGTAAAAATTATTCATATTTAACAATGTTTAAAAATATAAGTTATGTATATTAATGATGTAAGAATTATTTATATAATAAGATCACTTAGAAAGTAATTGTAAGTAATTATATTAAATTACATGGTAAATACGTAGCCATTAGCATGCTCTATGTTGAATTACATGATGGTATAAAATTTTCATTACACCATGCATACGATTGTATATAATTTAAACGAAGTCATTTTCCTACTTTTTGATAATAGAAAATCCATTTTAATTTTATTTTTCACTCTTGTTTGTGAAAGGTTATGGTGGATCCTGATGCTCCAACTCCGAGCAATCCTTACCACAAGGAGTATTTGCACTGGTTCGTTTTTTTCTTCTTTTATAAAATTATAATATCAACTTTAATTTCATACGTCGATTCATAGCAACTGTCAAATATGTGTGATGACTTTATCAATATTTCCATTTAAGTAGAAACATATTAAAGTACTAGCTATGATAGTTAAGTTGATTATACAAGAGTATTAACTTATCATAGTTAGTATGTTTTGAGATTGATATTAAAATTAAAATTTAGGAGAACTGACATATTCATAGATTGAATATTAACATGATTAACATAGGCAGAGTCGGAATTTTTTGTTATTATGAGTTCTGGATCATACTTCTTTTTATTATTCCGAATTAATTATTTGTATTATTGAATGAAATTTTTAAAAATTACAAATACATGATCTGAATCAAAATTATCGAGTTCTATGAAACTCATAATTACCATACTGCCTGATTATTAATTCTCTTTTGCAAATATATTGGATTTTCTTTTTCAACTTCAATATTTTATTTTCATTTCAATTCTATGAAACTATGAATATATTTTATTTTTTTCAAATTTCACAATTAATTACTACATGTTCTTGAGTAACTTTGTTAGGTTGGTCACTGATATCCCAGCAAGCACAGGAGTAACCTTTGGTAAGTCTTTCCTTCATACTAATAATAAGATTTAATATATTTCTATTTGACACAAAATTTAGAGTATCGTATTCTAACGTTTTTTCATAAAATTTTCAATTTGCTTAATAGAAATATTTAAATTGCGATCTAAAATTTCTTGTATCTTTTATATATTTGATTGTTTATTTTGTGTTATATAGGCAATGAAGTTGTATCTTATGAGTGCCCAAGACCTACAATGGGAATACATCGACTTGTTTTAGTTTTATTTCGTCAATTGCGTCGAGAAATTGTCCATGCTCCCGAAAATCGCCAAAATTTCGATACAAGGGATTTTGCAAAGGTCTATAATTTTGGATTGCCGGTAGCTGCGGTTTATTTCAATTGTCAAAGAGAAAATGGTACTGGTGGTCGTCGAATATAATTTTGTTTATGTTGCTTGTAATCTTTAGAAATGTTGTTGTTCGTGTCAAATTCCCTTAAAAAACATGTCTCTTTTAGAGAATTATTCGATATACATCTATCGATATTTTCTAGAAGCCAGGAACAACATACATATATCCAAAAATAACAATAAAGTCTTTAGTAGTCATCATATCATGTAATATCAACTATTCTAAAGAGAATTGGTGATGAATATATACATATACATGTTTAGAATAGTATTAATGAAAATTAAAGAATAATCTTTCTTTAATTTTATATATCTTGTATTCAACCTTTATAAATCAATTGTTTTGTTACATGGTGTTATTAGCACCTTGGTAGTTTTCAAACAAATTAAATATTGGATCAAGCCTTGCCAGTTGGTAATTAATACCCAAGGGAGAAAATGAAAGAAATAGAAATTAAGAGTAATCACTTCATTTCATATATAGTGACTTAAATTTTTATGGGAAAATTGTATGAAATAGCAGATTATTAATTTAAATTAAATGCTATAGCCATAGTTTTTTTTTATTTGTAATTCGCAGCAAACATTTCCTGTTTTTTGCCATCCCATTTGTATACCGAGATATATAAATAGACCCATTCGGTATACATATGTGTTGTATAAATGTAGTAATTTTGTTTATATACAATTACTATGTTTTAGTTTGTATACCGAAATATACAAATACAAATTTTTATGTATTATGTATACCGAAATATACAGATTAATAGCCACAACAAACATAAAGTTTGCTATGAGGCGCAATTATACAAACTATAGTTATATCATACAAATATGATTTTTATATTTGCTAAACCTAAAATTTACTTGCATTAATATTCATTCCACTGTCTTTCGCAAAAACTTATTCGATCCAAAAAGATATACAAAAATATAATCATTTATTACACTTTTAACATCACCATACAAGATAATTGAAATTCAACACTCACATCATCATGATTACAAGTTACAACATATATAAAATACTTGTTAAAAAATCACACCGAAAAAAAGAAGAAGGTATACATATATATGTATCTCAATCCAACAAGAACTTGTTAAAATAAGACTCAAATTTCTTCATTTGCTTAGGAGGAAGAGCCACAAATATATTAACCCCATCATTGTTGTTGTTTATACCATCATCAATATTTGGGAACAACAATATAATTTCTTTTCTATGACAAACCACAGGACAACTATATTTTGGTTTCCCCCAAGGGTATTCAACTTGTGAAAACCCTAATTTCCACCATGATGAAAGCAAAAATTCCCCATTTGGAAATCCTTTATTAATTTCACCCCAATCAATTGCACTTCTTGCATATTCATCATTCATTCTCTTACCCCCTTGTGACACCAAATCCACAATTTTACTAAAAGGCCCTTCTTCTAGCTCGTGACACGTGGCTGACGCGTAAGACGTCAGCACAGCGTTGCCAGCGTAAGATTGTGGCAACGGTGGATTTAACCTAGGTCTAATATCAACCGCGAATAAAACAGTTGAAACCCGCTCTGAATTGTTCTCATCATCGTACGATAACGCCTTACACCTCCATACATAAGAAGTTACCACATTAAAACTCGTGATTTTCGAGTTAGGGGTATTTTCGTCTTTTGCCTTTTCCTTCAAGGAATTAATGTCACTTGAATTGAGCTTAAATATTTTGAAGTCAAGTTCTTCTTGTAGGGTTTCAAATACTTTAGCATTTAGTTCTTCACCAATGGGGACATCCAATTTGAGTAATTCGACGTGTGGGAATGTGACACGTGGAGGCGTACGAGCGGCTAAGAGGGTACGATCATTGCATGGGACAATGGCTAAGGGTTTAGGATTATTGTTGTCATCATCAAATGCTTGAGAAGCTAAGTTTTGTAAGAAAGTTTTGAAGCTTATTCCATCAAAGGTTATGTGATTGGTTGAAAAGCCCATTACAAAACCACCACACTTAAATGATGTCACCTAAAAAAAGTAAACAATTAAGTGGTTATAGCTTTGAGTTATCAAATTCCCTAAAAGATAATTCTAAGTAACTGTCCATAAAAGAATGAATCAACAATGTATAAAATTAAAAAAAAGGGTTAAATATGAAAACTTACAACAAGTTAAAATATAAAGATAATATAAAGTAATTTGTTTGCAATAAATAGAGGTAAAATTAGGGCGAATTCAATATAATGAGTTCAATAAAATACATTGTTCTCGGCTCGATCTATAGAAGTACATACGCAATAAATAAAATTAAATATCTGCATATATATATGAATTAAATTCATTCTGAACTCACTAACTGTATATAAATTTTAGATTTATCCATGTCTGTCATTAATATTTGTGTTTATTAACTTTTGCATAAAGCACAGCTGGGTAGTAGGTGAATGCTTAATTATTTGAAAGGTACATATGACCCTTCTATATGTCCTATGAAAAAAGTAAAATAGCTAAATAGTATATATATATAGTAGTAGTATTAATAAGTGACAATTTTGTGCACTTTTACTTTCTAACTAGTGTTTAAACTTAGACTAAAGACTAGCAATCACCTATTCAATATGTATTCTTTTTTTAAATTAAAGTTCTCAGGTTTGAGCACTAAAAATGAACTAATCGTATTTGGTAAAGATAATGTTATCTCTAGAAAAAATAGAATTTCTCAATATGAATCAAATTTAGTTAGGCTTCAAACATGAGTATCGAATGCCGAATTCCAAAAAAAGAGAGACAATTTTTTACATAGTGTAGTTGTTGGAAACGACTGGTCCTGTTATTATTTAGATAAATGATGTGAAAGATCATCATTTATTTTTCTTGATGGGAGGTAGCACAAAACATTGACATTATGGGGGATCTTAATAGCTCAGTCGGTTAGCTATATGAATTTCATTGAATAGTTGGACATTTAGTGTAAAGTCGAAAGGAATTAATTAATGACTACAAAAGGGCAAATGTATTGTGTCTAAAATTCTGAGTTCAGATTAACCCATAGTCAAAAGGCTTCGATAGAATTCATTACCCC